AGCTAGTCCACGCTTATGCATGCATGGGTGGTTAATAGACTTTTAAAAACCCTTTCATTAGCATTAGCACTGACTTGGCAGTTTGCGAACAGCTGTTCCCTGTGACTCCGGTCACCCTCATGAGAGACCACACTCCAAGACAGGCCCAGTGAGGTGTGATGGCCACACCCCTCTTCAGAAGTCAGCCACTGTCTCACCTGACCATGACATTTGTTCAAGTTGTTCCAGTGGGCTTACTTATGGGGGAGTGGCCAGGATATTCATGCCTTGGCTCACATGGGAGCTCAGCTCCTGATTCTTAGAATGATGGGGTAAGGAGTCCATCTGGTCCATGCCTCTGCCTCCAGGCAGGGCGGCACTCAAATTACCCACCTGCTAGGCCTTAGTGATGAGTCAGCCACGTGGTTGCAACCATATCACTTGGACGGACACTTTGGCTTTGGATATTCGCTACCAGTGGCTTTGGGACCTTTCAGTAGACATGTCTGACTACTGGAGGCCTTCTGAGGTGGCCTATTCACCCAAGGGGTCCTGTCTCTTACATGGTCATTCTCTCATCTCTCAGGGAACTGGAGGGGGCACTGCTGAGATCATATGGGAAGCAATTCAGACTGAATTAATTTTCCTCTGTGCCTTCCCACTCAGCTCCCTTCTGAGCTACAAACTTAACAAATTATAGTTTTCTTCATCTCTGAAATCAACATTCTAAAATCAATAGAAAATATAGATCATTGTTGTTTAATTATTGATGGGGGAAGGTGCAATAATAATGGCACAAACCCCATAATATATAAAGAAAAGAGTTGATTAATTAAAGTCCAGAAAAAACATAAGTTTTATACAGCATAAAGTATCATATATAAGGTAAAAAGACAAATAACTACAGAACAATATAACACATAGGCCTGGGAAGAAGTTGATAGCCCTAATATATAAATACATATTACAAATTCAAAAGTAAATACACATACACAATGAAATGAGTAAAGGACACAAAGAACCCTTTCCTAATCCCTCCCTCCCCCCACCTCATTATTTCCCTCATACACACACATATCCACACACGTTGTGTTAGTCCGGGTTTTCCAGAGAAACAGAACCAGTAAGATGTGTACCTATATACACAGAGATTTATTTTAAGGGACTGGCCCACACAGCTGCGGGAGCTGGCAAGTCTGAGAACTGCAGAGCAGGCTGGCAGGCTAGAGAACCCGGGAGTGTTGACGGTACAGCCGCCAGTCTGAAGGCAGCCTGCAGGCAGAATTCCTTCTTCTTGCGCAGCCCTCAGTCTTTTTTCCTAAATCTTTCTACTGACTGGTTCAGGTCCATCCACATTACGGAGGGTAATCTGTTTTACTCAAAGTCAACTGATTTAAATGTGAATCACATCTAAAAAAAAAAAAGAATCCCTTCACACCAACATCTACGTTGAGTGTTTGATTTAAAATCGGGTGCCATGGCCTAGCCAAGTTCACACATAAAATTAACCATCACAGTTCACCCTTTGTCCACTTGGCACCCATACACATCTCCTTAAACAATATTTAACCGCCAAATAAAGACAATGACAAGGCCATACTGCCAGCTAACATTATGAAGTTAGGCTCTGTCTAGCACATAATGCAAAAACCCTTTCTCCAGAAAAGGATGTAAAGTCCTTCAATGATGTTGACTCTTCTCCTTGATATCCTTAACTTGACTTTTATTATGTAATGTTGAACAATACTGAACTATATCAGTCAATACATCTTATGTTATGTGATAGAATGGGAGGAAACCAAAGGTACTTCACATACACACACACACACACACACACACACTCATAACAAAGTAAGGAAGTAAACATGCTCATAGTAAGAAATGCCCATAGTTCTGGCCATGGTCACCCAATATTCATTCCTGAAGGGTCTGGGCCATGAATAGTCCTGTCTGAATTGGGTTCTTCGAGTTTTCCATGGACTTTAATCGAAGGGCGTGGCAGAACTAAGAGTCACCCTAAGGGACCCCTTGTATTCCACACGTACTCTTCTTTACCTCCACTGTGAGTAGCAGTTTAATTCCTCGGTGGTAATCAGGATCAATCGCCCCACTGAGCTCTGTAGCTACCTTCTTCGCCTGTTGATTCAGAGTCCTGAGGAGGCCAAAGTAGCCAAGTGGCAGTCTTAACTTCCAGTTCAATGGAATCATTCTGTCTCCTGGTGCCTTCTCCTATTCTGGACCGCGTTCAAAACTAGCAGGTTTGGGGTTACTCAGTTAATGGGCTAGCGTAGCACACCCAAATGAAAAATATGTTACTTCCAAAATCCAAAGAGGCCCACTAGGTGTTGTGCCTCATTTTTTATTGTAGGGGGTCCAGATGCAACTACTTCTGTTTCACTTTAGAAGGGATATCTCAACATGCCCTGTACCACTGGACCCCTAGAAATTCCACCAAGGTAGAAGGCCCCTGAGTTTTTGTCAGAGTTATTTCCTACCGTCTGACACACAAATGTCTTGCCAGTAAGTCTAGAGTAGTTGCTACTTCTTACTTGTTAGGTACTATCAGCATAATATCATTGACAGAATGGACCAGTGTGATGACTTGTCGAAGGGAAGGACAATCAGGATTGCTGAGAACTAAATTATGACATAGAGTAGCAGAATTGTCCTACTCCTGAGGAAGGACAGTAAAGGTATATTGCTGGCCTTTCCAACTGAAAATAAACTGCTCTATTATTAAACTGGTGGTCTTTACTGACAGATATGAAGGCAAAAAAAAAAAAAAAGAAGAACATTTTCCAGATCACTAGCTGCATGCCAGTTACCAGGGGATGTGCTAACTTGCTCAAGTAACAAAACCACATCTGGTACAGCAGCTACAAGGGGACTCACCACTGGCTTCAGCTTACAATAACCCACTGTCATTCTCCAAGACCCATCTGTTTTCTGCACAAACCAAATAGGCAAGTTAAATAGGGATGTGGTGAGAATCACCACCCCTGCATCCTTCAGATCATTCATGGTATCACTAATCTCTGCAATGCCTTCAGGGATGTGGTGTTGCTTTTGATTTATTATTTTCCTAGGTAGAGATAGTTCTAATGGCTCCTACTTGACCTCCCCATCATAAGAGCCCTCACTCTACCGATCAGAGAACCAAAGTGGGGATTCTGCCAGTTGTTGTGTCTGTCTGTTCCAATCATACATTCTAGAACCAGGGAAACAACCACAGGGTGGGTTCAGGACCCACTGGGCCTACGGTGAGATGAAAAAACTGAGCTAAAACTCCATTGATCACCCGACCGCCATAAGCTCCTATCCTACCAAATAGGGACCAAAGTGGACCAAAGTGATGTTTTGAGTCTCCTGGAATTAGCGTCAATCCAGAGCCAGTGTCCGTTAGCCCCAAAGTCTGATTATTTTCTTTTCCCCAGTGCACAATTACCCTGGTAAAGTGCCGTAAGTTCCTTTGGGGAACGCTGGGGGAAAGATTAATAGTATAACTCTTTGGCGGAGTTCAAGAGTTCTTCCTCCAGAGGACCCATCCTCCCCTTCATTCGAGGGGTTCCGTGTCTACAAACCAGCTCAGAGTTGGGAATTGATTGAGGGAGCATTATTCTCTCTTTTTATGGTTCAGAGGTTTGTTCACTTAGAACTTTTCCTCTTATACATATAAAGTAAGAATGTAGTAGGCTCCCCATCAATTTCACTTCCAAACCACCATGACGAACTAGCCAGAGCCACAGCTCTCTGTGAGTCAGGATGTTCTGATTACTGCTTTGACTCTGCTGTCCATGATAGTAACCACACCCACTTTGCCTTTGGTGCCCGAGTGCTGCCAATGGTATCCAATTATCCTTATTGCATTTAGGTTTCCCAATTCAGTGGCATCAGATTCCACTGTAATTTCTAACCTACAGAGAAGACCAATCACATAGCTCTTCAAGGATGCTGTGGTCTCCTCACAAGTTGATTTCTCATAGCCCTGAAAGATAAGTCCTCTGGGCCCTTCCAGAGGAGATGAGCAGATGTCAACTGATAACTCCACTCTAGCATTCCAATAAGCCTTTGGACCCCTTCCTCTATAATTTACTAAGGAAGTCCTGGCATCTCATTTTCATTCAATGTCAGCCACCTTTTGGTCCATGTTTCAGCCAACCAACCCAACAAATTGTTAGAGCCCCGTCCAAGCGGACTTGCATGAATAAATTCGGCCTGATCCAACTTTATGTCCCTTCCACAATTATCTTGTACCCTTAATATCCATCCCACACATATTCCCTGGGTTTATATCTGTATAAATTAGAAAAAATCATGTAGTTCTTTTGGAGTGCAGTGTACCCGTTTATGGGTCACACTTTCTACATCACCTTTTGGGGCCTACTGGGACTTGAGTCGAGGTGCATGTCTAGAAGCAAAGAGAGATGGTGGGATGGGTTCTCAAGAGAACCAGCGGTGCACTGCAAGGCAACCACTTCCAGGAGGCCTTTCAGCTTCCTCAGGAAATGCATGGTTAACCACCTCAGAGGGGGATGAAAAGGCTGCTTCTACTGGCAAAAGACACAACTTGGTGGAATGGAATTTAGAAATTCAATGTCTCAACTTTATCAGGAAGTTCCCAAATGTCTCTATTCCAATTTTCAGGACTCCAGGGATGAGACAACTAGATATCATGTGAGGCATGGTATCAGCTCTCAGAAGGACGCTCCTTGCGAAAATGCATCACTGAACCTAGTCAGGCAGAGACATCAAACAAACCCAAATTGACAGGCATTCTACAAAAACCAACAACCTGTTTAAAAATCTTCAAATCATAGAAGACAAAAAGCCAATGTTGGTTCCTGGATTGGATTCTGAACCAATAAAAATTTGTTTTGCTCTTAAGGACATTAGTGGTGCAAGTGGCAAATCTGAGTAAGTTCTGTAGACACTGAGGCCTCAGGGGAAGCAGGAGTTGAGGACAGAGTATAAAAAGATAATGTAGGAATAAAAAGAAAACAACAATCAAGGCAAGAGGGCATGAAGATGTCTAGTTTTATTGTTTCACATCAGGCTGGGTTTACAACAAGGTAAGCTCCTGAAGGACCTAGGGTCTGTGCTTTGGGTTCCCAGGGCAGCCACACATATGGGGGAGGAGGTGAGTAAATGGGTTTGGGGGAGGGGTTGTGGCTTCTGGGCACCAGGGCACAGGGATCCTCTGGGCCTGAGCTCAAGGCTGCACTCAGACCCCTCAGCCCCTTGGGCAGGCCCAGCAGGGGGAGCAGGAACAGGAGGAGGGCTTTGGCCACTCGCTGTCCCCAAGCCTGCGCTCCTTGGCTCAGGGTCCACTTCAGCAGCAGCCTCCAGACGACTGACCGCTGCCCCCTCCACAGCAGCTGGAGCCCCCCGAGGGCTGGCTGCAGCAGCCAGGGCTCTGGTGTCTGTGACGGTGGGAACTGCGTCGCCTGTGGTGGCTCAGGCAGCAGCCGCCGCCCCCAGAGCTGCAGCAGCCGCCGCCCCCAGAGCTGGAGCCGCAGCAGGAAGAGACTGGGGGGCACTTGGGGGGGCACTTGGGGGGGCACTTGGGCGCGGGACACTTGGGAGGGGGCTGGCACTGCTGCTGGTTCTGCTGGCAGGACATCTCGGCTGGCGGGGTCAGGAGCTGAGGGAGAGTCACACAGTGAGTCAGACCCAGGACCCTGAGCCCCCCTGCCCCACCCCTTCCTGTCCTCAACATCATTTCTAGTGCCTTTATTTGATGAACTGTTTAAATGGAGTCCTTGGTAATTCAACAGAGAGACTTTCATTATTTCTAAGAGTTCCCCAAATGCCCTCACATCATCTCTGGAGTGCTTCATCTGTTATAGAATTAGAGAACTGAAGCCAAAATATGTTAAGAAAAAGTGCTCAAAATCAAACATCTAGAGGAGATATTCTACAGCAAAAATCACGGAAATAGTAAATCTAGGTGACAGTTTAGAAATGAAATTGTTTCTTTAGGGAAAACAGTCATTCCCTCTTGCAGAACTTTCTAGATATCCTTGTCCTGTAGGGACATAGAAGTCCACACCCGCAAAGGACATTGCAGATTGGCTGGAAGAATGAGCTGAGGGAGAAGATAATTTACTGTAAGCTGGGACTTGCACCGGGCCCCTGACCGGGCCCCGCTGCCCTGGCATCTTGCAGACGCTCCCCTCAAACTAACACCTCAGCATCAAGATTTGAGTTGTTCCTACTCAACTCTGAAGTCCTTTTGTCTGAGTGCTTAAAATAAGTCAGTCAGTTGTGATTTCCTCTCTGCTGGCTGAGTGTCACTGTTCCCATCTTTACTTTTCCCTGGAGGGACAGTTATGCTTTCAAAGATAAACCTCCCTGTTGACAACAGTTATGGGTTGGTATGGTGGTCAGTGTTGCAAATCCTTCCAACCAGAGACCAACAACTACAGATCAGTTTGTTTTTTCTAGTGTACTGTCACACTCACACAGTTCCTTCTACTCATGTTCCCAGCCTTCCTAGCTCCTTGCCCCTCCCTCAGTGTCCCTGCGACTTGTTCTTTGCTAATATGAACCCAACCTCATCTTCTTCTCACTGCCACCCACCACACACACACACACACTGCAAAGGCTCTGCCCCCCAGCCCCCACCTCCTGCTCTGGTTTGAGCTCCCTCTGCGGAAGGCTCTGCTCTCAGTCCCAGGGGACACTTACCGGTGCACAGGCAGCAGTGGGTCTGTCAGCACCTCAGGAGAGGAGTGTATGGAGGTGCTCTGACTCTGAAGCCCTTTTATCCCGGCTTTGGGCTCTGCCCTCAGCCTGTGAGACAGGACCTGGGCACGAGGGGACTGCCTCCTGCCACCCACGAGGTCCTGTGACAGGTGGTGACTGGCAGCTCCTTCCTGCCTCCTTCCATGGGGCTCAGAGCAGCTGCTCCCAGCTTGGAATAGGGCTGCTTAGAAACAGGGAATGACACAGTTGTGGAAAATTTACTTTGATCCTCTGCCTCATTTTCCTTGGCAAGTGCCACCTTAGTTCCTGTTTTGGACCTTGGGCCCCAGTCCCTCTTTCCTGTTTTTGTCATTATTCATACTTTATGATAGAGGAGACCGATAAACAAAACTAAAAAGAGTCACTTTATGTACCTTTCACAAGGATGCACAGCTACCAGGTGGCAAAACCAGGATTGCATTCTAGGTCTGACTCTAGGCTCTTTTTTTTTTTAATTTTTTTTTAAATTTTATTTATTTATTTGAAACAGAGAGAATGAGAGAGAGAGAGCACATGAGAGGGGGGAGGGTCAGAGAGAGAAGCAAGCTCCTTGCTGAGCAGGGTGCCCGACGCGGGACTCGATCCAGGGACTCCAGGATCATGACCTGAGCCAAAGGCAGTCGCTTAACCAACTGAGCCACCCAGGCGCCCCCTTTTTTTTTTTAAAGATTTTATTTATTTATTTGAGAGAGAGAGAATGAGAGAGAGCACATGAGAGGGGGGAGGGTCAGAGGACGAAGCAGACCCGCTGCCGAGCAGGGAGCCCGATGCGGGACTCAATCCAGGAACTCCAGGATCATGACCTGAGCTGAAGGCAGTCGCTTAACCAACTGAGCCACCCAGGCGCCCTGCCTCTAGGCTCTTAAATGGAATGGAATACACCAGGGATCAGCAAATTTTTCAATAAGGGGCTAATGACTAAATATTTTAGGCTTTGGGAGCCATAAAGTCTTTGACTCAACTACTCAACTCTGCCATTGTACTGTGAAAATAGCTGTAGATAATAAAGAAATGAGCATGGATGGGCTCCAACTAAAATGTTTCAAGTGTGTCCCAGTTTGGATGGTGAATTATACACTATCAGTAAGTGAAGTTTTCGCAAAGGCCTTCACTGATTCAGGATAAAACCTAAATTCCTTGTCCTTGCATTCAAATACCTATGCAGTATGAAACTATTCTGTTTCTATGGTTTTTTCCTTTGCTCTGTTAAGAGAAGAAATCTTTCTCTGAAGCTGAATTGACCTATGAGCTCTACTTTGTACTGGCTACTTTGTGCTTTATCTTTATTTTACTTTATGTGACATATCTCTGAATTCTTCAGAGCGGGGTCTGGATCTGATATGTTTGCATCCCCCATCAGCATCTAGAGCCAAGATATGCATTTATAATCATTTCACCAGCATTTCATAGTACCTGAGAGTTTGCAAATAGCTTTTCCTTGTGATGTAAGGCAATCGGATAAGACATGCACAGTGATGAGTGCTGACCATATCATCCTACAGAGATCTGCTATGTTACTTGTGGATGATGTTTGTCCTCAGGGCTCAGTTGTGGAAGGAGAGGTCAGGACACGGGTAGTAATACTCAGAAGCCCAGCTCACTGATTCCTAGAATGATGGGCCTCAGATGCTATTGGGTCATGCTTCTGCCTCCAGGCAGGGAAGGAAGCACCCAAACATCAATTAATCTGACATGGGCACAGGTCAAAAACAAGCAACATGCTTGTAATATCATGCAGAGTCATTTGTAAGCCATGGCTATTAGATTTCAATAGATTTATATTGATTTGGTATCCTTTCAACAGAAAAAAATGTTTAGTGACAAGGATTTGGTTTTCTGAAGTCATCTACTCATCTGTCTCCTATGTCCTTATAACCTCAAGGGATAGGAGGAAACACTGCTGAGATCCATGGGAAGTCATTAAAACAGTGTAATTTTTGCTCTTTTCCCTCTACCGTGCAGCCCTTTGCAGAGACAGAACCTTGAACATTATTGACTTTTAGTGTGTTCTCCTCCCTTTCAAAAATTGATAAATATGGGGTGTCTGGGTGGCTCAGTCATTAAGCATCTGCCTTCAGCTCAGGTCATGATCCCAGGGTCCTGGGATCAAGCCCCTCATCGGGCTCCCTGCTCAGCTGGAAGCTGCTTCTCCCTCTCCCACTCCCCCTGCTTGTGTTCCCTCTCTCTCTGTGTCTCTCTCTGTCAAATAAATTAAAAAAATCTTTTAAAAAATTGATAAATGTGTCTAATTTAAAAGTTAAAAATCTATGTAAAAAATAGCACCATAAATAAGACAAAAAGAAAAGTGATCCATTGGGGGAAATTACAACATATTTGCTAGGAATATAGAAAAGCAATTCTTATAAATCAATTGGACAAAGGACAGGAACAGGCAATACACATACCAGGGAAGAAACACAAATGGCCAAAAAGTAACTGAAAATATGTTCAGTATTACTAATCAAAAAAAAAAAAAAAAAAACCTCATCTTTTTATGGCATAGGGTGTCTATCCAATTTACTCATTCATATCTGATTGGCAAAGATTGAGCGCCTAACAAATACTCAGTGTTGGAGAGGATGCAAGGAATTGGACACTCATGCTTCACTGGTATGAAAATAAATCAGCATACTGATTATGCATAACAATACGATGATTCATTGATTCAATACATACTTTATGGTGTGTAAATGAATTAGAATGTAAAATGAGAACATTCTTTTATACTGTTCAAATATCTAAGAATTTAGCCTTAGGAGATAATGTAACTAAACTCAAAGGGTTTGCAACTTGTGGTGCATGAAATTGAACACAACCCAAGGAAGTGTTGAAAGCAAAGAACTTTTATTTATTACTTGTTACAAGTAAGGAGACAGGGAGATAGCTCTCAAAGTACTGCCTCTCCATGGGCTTAGTACAGGAAGCTTTTATTCAATGCATTCGGGGTGAGGGCAGGGAGCTTGCATATACATTAAAGGAACTTAAGGGGGTGCCTGGGTGTCTCAGTCATTGGGTGTCTGCCTTCATCTCAGGTCCTGATCCCAGGGTCCTGGGATTGAGCCCTGCATTGGGCTCCCTGCTCTGGGGAAGCCTGCTTCTCCCTCTCCCACTCCCCCTGCTTGTGTTCCCTCTCTTGCTATGTCTCTCTCTGTCAAATAAATAAATAAAATCTTAAAAAACAAATAAAGGAATTTATGCATATTTTATTACTTGGGCACTTCTGTTCAACTGTGCATACCTAGCATGCCAACATGCTAATGCATAAATCTTATGCTCAAAGAAATGTTGGACTCCCCCATAGGAGGAGACCTTAGTACTATAATGAGCTAATGGTAACTTCAGGACAACTCGGAGGGGCTTCTGCACAGGTCCTCATCTCCAGTCTGGCTCTAAGCGGCTCATGTAAGGGGCTATCAGGTGAAACATCTAGCTGGGCTTTCTCCCTGCTTTTGTCTCTTCCTAACCGTCCCTCCTGCTGATAGCTTTCAGCCCTCTGACCTGGATAACTCCTTGTGGCATCCTAGCTAACAATGTGGGATGATAAGAAAACAATATATGCATAAACATATTCCTTGTAGAAAAATACAAGTAATAAGAGTACAGCAAATTGTCACATCAATATTTTTATACTTCTTTAAAAATAACAAGATAAAAAGATTTAAAAATGCTGTTTTAAAAAAGAGCAAAATACATAAGCTACATAATGTTTTTAAATGAACAAGATATTTATGTGTAAAATGTTAAAACTTTACTGAAAGAAAAAAATTTAAAAACTTTATCGAAGGATACTAAAGAAGATCTAAGTAAATAAGATCTATACAGGAGGAGGAGCAAGATGGTGGAGGAGTGGGAGACCTAAATTTCAACCGGTCCCAGGAATTCAGCTAGATAGGTATCAAACCATTCTGAACACCTATGAACTCAACAGGAGATCAAAGAAAAGAATAGCAGCAACTCTCTGAACAGAAAAGAGATCACTTTCTGGAAGGTAGGACATGCGTAGAAGTGAATCTGAGGCGATATATGGGAAGATAGACTGGGGGCGGGGAGTCTCCATCAGCCACTACCGGCAAGTGATAGAGCAGCAGAGCACAAAATTGGAACTTTTGGAAGTCTGCTCCGATGAGGGACATCACTCCAGTGGCTAAGCGGGGGGTAAAACCCTCTCTGGGACAGTGTGGTCTCAGGACCCTCGGAGTCACAGAAAGAATGGGGGAGCCTGAGTGCGGCAGAGCTCCCAGGTATCAGAGCGGGAAAGCTGGCTGCAGAGAGGGAGCCAAGGAGTGGGCTCTCTGCTCGGGTTGCCATAAACTGTTATCTGCTGGAAGAGCAGGGGCCCAACAAGCAGCAGATCCGGGGAGACTCCCCTTTCTCCCCAGGGAGAAGTGGCGCAGGAGTGCACCACAAGAATTGCTGGGTTTGGAAACTCCAAAAAGGGTCGTGTGCCAGAGAGAGAAACGCTGGGTCGCAAGCCAGGTGAGCACGGAGTGCAGCTGGAGACCAGGGAGACAGGCGTGATTGACTGCTTTTCCCTGGGGGTGCACTGAGGAGTGGGGCCCCAAGCTCTCCACTCCTCCGGAGGGGAGATTGGGAGGCTGCCATTTTCAAAGCTGTACAGAAAGCTTGCAGGGAAAAAAAGTGACCGAGAGCAAACCCAAGCAGATTATTTAGCCCGGACCCAGCAAGGGCAGAGCAATTCCGCTTCCCACAAACACGTTTGATAATCACTGCAACAGTCCCCTCCCCCAGAAGATCAGCAAGAACAGCCAGCCAAGACTAAGTTTACTGATCAATGAGAATGGCAGAACTCCAGCACTAGGGGAATACAGCACATAGAACTCATGGCTTTTCTCCCCATGATTCTTTAGTCTTTCAAAGTTAATTTTTTTAATTTTCTTTTTTTTCTTTTTCTTTTTTTTTTCTTTTTCTTTTTCCCTTTTCAACCAACATCTTATCAATCCCTTTTTTAAAAATCATTTTTATTCTTCATTTTAAGAGTCATATTCTATCCCTTCATAGCAGTTAACTTTATTTTTGGTATATATATATATATAAGTTGTTCTCTCTTTGAAATTTTGAGATACAGTTG